TCCCTGCTGTAATTTGTAAATATTGGATTTCACATGCAGGTTGGGAGGAAAGCCAGTGCTATTCCAAGATAGAGGCTTCAGCTGGGATGCTGCTCCTCATGTCATCTAGTTGTCTCTTTTAAAAGACAACTGGTTGTTGCATAGGATCTGAAATCCGATCCAATATATTTCAGTCCATCCCATTTTCATAAAATTTGACCACCGTTGCCACTGATTGTTGTTTGCTGGCGTGCTTAAGGTGGGTCAGTGGCCTCTGTGCTGTTGCTTGTACACAGATGCTTGTGTTTCTACAATTCCTGGGGAAAAAAAAAAATGTGCGTCTGTTAACTGACAGTCTCTGTTAAAGTGCCGACAGTAAATGAGTCTAAATAACCTTTTACCTGCAAAGGTCTGTGGCATGTAGGAGCAGAAAATGTAGGCAATCACTATATCTGTTTTTCTAGTGATGATGGAGAGAGGACAAAGTGAAGACAAGAGGAGGTGGGAAATAAGGCTTCAAACATTTCCTTTAAAAATATTTTTTTGCTGTTGTTTTTTAGGGTTTAGTCTTCAGTCATTTTAACAACCAGTGAACTTGTAGGATTCCACTTATTTCGCAGCCTTAATTTTTATTTTTAATTTTTTTTTCATAGTAAAGCATTTTGGTGTGAGAGCTGCCATGAATTATTATCCTGCTATGCTAATACGCAGCAGCAAACTTGGCTTCCAAGTGCATACGTGTATTTCTGTGGGAAATGTGGGAAAACGGTGAGAAGGAGCATATAATACCGCCTGTCTGAAGACGCAGGTCCTGAAGACTAGCACTGACAACTGAGTAGTAGTGTGTTCAAACTAAAACTAGGATTTATTTTACTTGCCTTTTTTGGGTTTGGTGGTGGGGTGGTTGTTGGTTGGGTTTTTTTGTGGTGGGGTGGTGTGTGTTTGTTTGTGGGTGGTGGTGTTTTGTGTTTGGGTTTTTTTTTTTTTTTAATAGGTTTTATATCCTGAAGATTTTCTTTGAAGCCACCACAGAGAGTTGAAGCATTTGTTTTCAGCGTGAAACCTGGGATTTTCATAGATTTGCTTGATGGTAGGAACTGGAATTTTTAAGTAAATGTCAAATAACAGGAAGCTTATGCTTTAAGCCACGAGAGTTTGGCAATATTGAGGGCTGTGTGTACTGATAATCTTAAGATAATGCTGTAGTCCGTTTCCAGTGGTTTCCAGGAATCTGATGAGTGAGTTAGCAATAATGAGTCAAAGCTATCTTTATACGTATGGATGAGGTATATATCACATAGTGGAAATTGACTGACATCTCTGCTTCTGGCTCATGGGCTCGGACTTGCGAGCCATTCATGCCAGTGGAGAATCACTATGGGATCAGAAGGATTCTGACGCGTAGGTACCACTGACATCAGCCAACTTTCAGCAACAGGAGCCGTTCAGGCTCAAATGATTTTTACCTCTGTGCTTAGCAGCTTTTTTTGGAGAAAAAACCCTTGGGTTTCACAGGGTTCAATCCTGCCTGCTGCTGCTGCCTGCTCTTGGTTAAGAGTATGCTGTTTGGCCTTAAAGGCTGCTCATCCTCTCTTCTGAGAGGACATGTTGATACTTACTGGGAGCATAAGGATCTCAAAATTCCTGCTTCAGTATGTGACACCTTTGAGACCATCAAAACATTCCCTGATACGTAATACAGAAAGGGCTTACTCTCCTGTGGTGGGCTCTTAGGGTTTTGTCAGATGTCTCTCTCTTTAATTTCAGTTGATGGTCAACTATCAGATATTCATTGAGGAGGACTTTCTAATGTCTTTGCTCATTGTTCTGTGCTTTTTTGACAGCTGCTCTTCTGAGTATATTTTTTTAAACTCTTGCGTTAAATTAAGTGTATTCCTTCCCACACACTTTTCTTAGAATCTGTGTGGTACGTGTTGTATGAACGTATGTGACCATACGTGCCTTCTTCCATCCCTTTCTCTTTGAGCTCTGGCAGTAGCTGCTCAAGCTCAGTAGTACTCTCAGCTTCTAAAGTGAAAATCCTGTTAATAAAGAAAGCAATCTAAGAAAAAACCAGCATTTCCATCCCATAATATATGCTGATCAGCTGGTGCTTATAAATGCTGTGCAAACAGATTACATTTCCATTAAAGTGGTGCTACAAATGGCTTGCTGGGCACCTGTATTTTCTGTTGCATTGCGGTGTGCAATACTCAAGTTGCTTTAAGGAATTAGAGGCTGAAATTTTGCCGCAAGCTCCTGTAGACCACTTCTAAGATCCCAACACCCCTATGAAATTTTGCTCACTTGCAAATAAAGAAGGTTGGTTTTGCCTAGCAACAAGCTTTGCGGTTTCTACCTGAGGATCAAAAACACAAGTGCATTTGTTCAGCCTTCTGCGTCACTTTGGTACTGAAGGTTTTGACAGTCAAATCATCGCTGACATTTCTGTTAATGTGCAAGAAAGAGAATAATCCAGTATGTTTTTCCATAGCAGTGCTGTCACTGCAGGACTGACAATAGTAAAAAGTGCATTCATCACTGAATAACCAGATATCCTGGAAACGCGTGAGAAAGATGTATTTTTTCAATCGAAATGTCTCACTCTTAATGGCTATTTTCTGACTGATTTCCTTTTTGCTATTTATACTCTCCCTGAAGTATTTTATAGAAACCTGAGTCCCATTGAAAACCCACCCAAACAACCAGAAATGTATTTTACGTATTGTAGTATGTAAATGATTAGTCATCACTTGTAAATTGCCTAATGGAGGAGGAGGAGGAGATTTATATTGAGGGAAGGTGAAGAGCTCGATTGTGACTGCTATATGTCTCAGTTCTTCCTGCCTTCCCCCCACCCCCCCCTACTCCCAGAAGATCATTATGAAGGATTTTAAAAAAAAATCATCCTAAGAAACATTGTCATTGCGGGTTTGAAAAATGGTAGCTGCACACTGTAAGCTTATTTTCCACTTGCTTATGTTTTCTTGGGGAAATTTATGGGGTTTTTTGTTGTTTTAATTTAAGATTCTATGGTCGTCTTGTAAATTGCCAATGAAAAATGATGTTGACACGAGAGATTTTAAGTGTAACAATATGGGGAACACAGTTTATGAAGAAATATGTCTTTCGTAAAGCATGATAAGAATTATGTTAAGCATCTGCGGCACAAGACCAGAAATGCTGTTTATTGGAGTCTTGGCAGATCTCTTCAGTGGCTGGATATGATACCCTTTGTTTGGTTGGTTTGTTGTCTAGTTTTTGTTTTGCTCTGTTTGTCTTATGAGTAGTTAATTCGCGAGACATGGTAACACTGAAGAATCCTGAAATAATTTTTGTGTGTCCTGATTTTAGTACAGATACCTATTTCTCAGTGGGTTTTGGAGGGTTTTGATTGCAACGGTCTGTCCCCTGGCTGGCTGTTTTCCAGGTGAAACTGTGATGTACTGTATTTCCTTGGGTTTTTTTGGTTTTTGTGGTTTTTTGTTGGTTTTGGTTGATTCCCGCCCCCCCCACCTTTCGGAAGTGTGAGGGAAAGGGTTAATGGAAAATGGTTATGAGGAAAGGTTTTTCAGTCAGTGGTTTATTCACTCTTTTCTCTCTGAGTATTGGCTTCATGAAATACATTTGCATGTGTTTGAGTGCTTAGGCATAATTTTCCATATTTTCCTCCACTCCCATTGCAATCCTTCAAGTATGTTTGTCAATGAGATAAAATTTCTGAAAATGTCCTGCAAGAAATACCACAAAGCGAGTGGGAAGACTTACTTTGTATTACTCTGTACAAATTATTAAGTGGTTTGAAGAAAACAAATATTTTTGTGTGTATTTAAATTGCCGTGCTGGCGGTGGTAGTTTATAGAACTGCCTGCTGGTCTCCTCTGTGCGCCTGAGCTCCCAGAGAGAGCACGATTTGATTTTTGTGAAAGGCTAAATTCCATTTCTGGCACATGAAATTCAGTTCTTTTAACGTGGTGAGTTCCAGTGCGCTGCCACATACTGTACAGCAATTGCAACCATGTGCAATTTAAAATGTGCCTCAGAAACAAGGAGTCTAATATTAGTGGGGTGATTTTCAGCTCTCTTTTTTTTCCTCCCCTCAAGTAGAATGATACGTGTTTCCTCTTATTTGCTGTTTTTGTGTATCTGCACTAATTGCTTCAACCATGATTCATGTGCGAGCCTTGAGAAGAGGTGCCTCTTGTATCAAGACAGTTTGGCACATGGCCATGGCTTGTAAATCAGTCCGACTCATCCCAAAATGCTCCTTTTCTGTCCGATCAGCTATTCAGCTGGCTAACACAATCCTGATGAACAGTATAAATCGCATTGCTGAGGCAACTCTTTTCTTCAGGTTTATTTTCCAAACCGTAACCTGAAGATCTCCTTTTTCCTCCTCACACAGTGCTTCCAAAGAAGGTTTTTCTGGTGGCGGCTGTTCGGGGAATAGGATTTCTTCCTTCTCCTCCTCCCATTCCTGATCACTTCAACTTTTGTTTGGCTTATTAAATTAACATCTCGATTCACTGCCCTGGCAAAGGAGATCACTTTCTAAAAGCACCCACCTAGCTTCTTTTTCAATAGTGTTTGACTATTGAAATTTTAGTTGGAGCAGAAGCCATTGTTAAAAAGCAGGCAAGTCCTTTTTCCTCATACCCTCATTGATTTCTGTTGAAGCAAACAGATGAGCTTATATATAAATATGTATATATGCTTTTTTTTAATGAAAAGTGCTGGAATTCACTAAAAAAGGTTAAAATTGAAGTGAGTAATCTTCAGTGCATAATGCAATTGTTAATTTTAGCTCCTTGCGTAGGAGCTGTTATGACTTGAACAGCCGGCTCTAGCCTTCATTAGAGAAGAAGCAGGCAGTTTTCAGACAGGTGGAGCTGGATCAAGCTGTGAAAGTGATTTTCTTGAAGCTGGTCATTAGTGTTTAGAAATCTGGTCCTATCTATTGCACCCCTAACTTGTACCATGATCATTACCGCTGTTATTATTTACTTTTCGTCTTTTTCCAGGTTGACTATGATCCGTCAAATTCTCTGAAGGACCAGCATGGAGATTGGCACTCTGAACTGTTAATGGGGACATGGGACTCACGTTGTCATTGATCATTTGTGTGGACTTAACCAGCGAAGAGCAAGAGAAGACGCTAGAAAGACAGTGGGAATTATAGCAGTTTTTCAGGTAAACGGCTGCTTTGGTGCAGCTGATAAACTATGAGTGTAATTGTTTTTGTGAACACTGTGTAAGCATGTAGATGAGCTGCGGGGGTAGTATGCCCATGAAGAACTTGTGCATGTGTGTGCATTTCTTGATGTAAATCCTTAAAAAATTAAGGGTTGTTTAACAGACCAGTTTCAGCTCTTGCCATTCATCGTGTTTTGAATTTTTAGCAAAGCGCTTCAAGTTTCAGTTGTAACTGCAGAATAGTCAATACCATGGGATTTCCTGGGGAGGGCGGTGGGAGGAAGGAGAACAATCCAAACCTTGAATTGGCTTACTGTGAGCTAATTTGTGAGCTTCATATTCCAGTCGGTTTATTTATGAGCTGTGTAGCTTCATTTCTTGTGAAATCCACAATCCTTCTCAAATAGGAAGATTATGTAGGAAAGGTTTTATTATTTTATTTGCTTATAGTGTTAAAACAAAAGCAAAAATTGGGAGAAGTAAGTTTTAAAAAAACTCAGTAGGTCTTATTTTTTCACTTAAAACATAGCTTAAAGAAATGAAGGTAAGTGATATCAGATCTGTTAAATGTAAATTACAAGCTGTAAAAAGAAATGTGGCAAAGTGTGGTTTTGCTTAATAGCCACTGTTTCATTGTTGAGAATTGGTAAGGTATTGCAAAAGACCCTTTCTGAAATAACTCCCTTTCTCAACTGCAGTTGTTTTTCCTGAAGATACTTCTTAAGCCAAATGGATGGGGAAAGAAAAGTTAAATTATTCATGAGTCTCATTTGACAATTGATCAGTGGGGGAGGCTTCAAGAGGGAGCTGGGGGGGGGAGAGAGAAAATAATAATAGGCTTTAACTTTGAAAAGCCTTTAAAGCTTCTGTACAACAACCCATTGTGAGCTGAGAGTAAATGCAA